ATCTGCATGTGCACACACATGCACATTCACACTCAAGTCTCCTGAGAAATGAATTTGTAGATCTATTTGGTAATAATTGACATCTTTCCAGTATTGAATTTTCTAATCCACAAATGAGGTATATTCTTCCATATATATATAGGTCATCTTTAGTAAGGTTTTACAGTTTTCTGGGTTGTAGTCATATACATAATTTGTTAAATGTATTCCTAGGTATTGATTTTTTTAATGTTTTTATAAATTGTGTTATTTTTAAAGTTATTATTGTGTTGTTAATTATTGCTAGGACATAAAGATAGTAATTTTTAATATATTTATGTTGTATCCAGCACCTTGTTAAATTCATTTATTAATACTATGATTTGTCTTTAGATTCTTCGGATTTTCTACATGTGAAGTTGTGTCATTTATGAGGAATGGAAATTCTTCCCAATCCTTAATCCTTTGTATTTCAGGGGAGGGGAACACTTATTGCAATATCTAGACCCTCCAATGTTGTGTTAAATAGAAGCTATGAGAGTAGTTATCTTGTTCTTGTTGCTGATTTCAGAAACAAAGTGTTTAACATTTTATTACTAATATGATGTTTGTTATATTTTTGATAATTTCTATCACATCAAATAACTTTTCTTCTATTATGTTTACTGAAAGTTTTTATTATGAATTTGTATTGAATTTCTGCATCTTTTGACATGATTATATGATATTCTTTATTCTAGTAATATGATTAATTAACATTGATTAATTTTTTAATGTTTAAGTCAATCTTGTATTCTTTCTATAAACCTAACCTGGTCATGATATTTAGTCTGATTTGGTAAGTGAATATTTTGGTTTTTTGCATCTGTGCTCATTAGAGATGTGGATCTATGGGTTCTTTCTTTCTTTGTTGATTCTCTTTCTTGAACACTACTTTCTATTGTGATATCTTCCTTGATACATGAGTTATTTAGAAGTATGTGGATTAAATTTCAAACATTGGGATCCTCTAGTTGTATTTGTTATTGATTTCTGGTTTAATTCTACTGTGGTCACTTAGCATACTGTATGTCAGTACTTGTCACACTTTCTGTGGTGGAGGACTTGTTTTTTCCTTCAATCTCTGGTGGATTGGCAGCCTTTGTAAAAATACAGTAAAGATTAAATTACTAGAAGATTTAAGTTAAAAAATATATTTATGATCTAAGCCCCAATTTTTTATTATTAGATTCTATAGTAATACACTATTATATCAAGCTGTAATATTTTCTAAACAATTATTCTTAATTTCTAAACCTACCTGATTGTGGTCTAATAAAAGTTATAAACCAATATTAGTCCTTGGAACACTTTTCAAGTAGCCCAGGCTGTTTATGTGATTTTAATCTTTGCAGTTCGTTGAGTCTTGCTTAAAGCCTACCACATGGTCATTTTCAGTAAATGTTTCATGTGCTGTTTGAAAGAAGGTGTGTTCTGTACTTGTGTGATGGAATGTTTTATGTTTGTCCTCTAAATCAAATTTGTTCATCATGTTATTTAACTTTTTGATGTTCTTATTCTTTTTGTCTACTTATTTTATGGATTACTGAGAGAGATAGATGTCTCTCATTATGATGATGATTTTGGATTTTGTGTTTTTCCTTTTGGTACTGTCAATTTCTCTTTAGTATATTTTGAGGCTATATTATTAGGCAAAATTCAAATTTACAGTTGCTTTGTCTTATAGTAGGCTGACCCTTGTAACACTATGCTAGCTCCCACTTTATCTCTATTTTTACCTTTTGCCTTAAAGTATACTTCATCTAATAATTAATAATGTTAGCTTATTTTTTATGGCGTATATCTTTTTTGTTCTTTAAAAGTAGGCAGGGCATTCACAACCAGCCTGGGCAACTTGGTGAGACCTCATCTGTACAATAAATCAAAAATTAGCTGGGTGTGGTAGCATGTGCCTGTAGTTCCAGCTACTTGGAAGGCTGAGGTGAAAGGATTGCCTGAGCCCAGCAGGTCGAGGCTGTGGTGGCCGAGAGCGTGTCACTGCACTCCAGCCTGGGCGGCAGAGTGAGATTCCAACTCCAAAAAAAAAAAAGAAAGAAAAGTAAAGTAAAGTAAAAGTAGTCACAGTGGGTTATGCCTGCAATTTCAACACTTGAGAGAAGGCAAGAGGATTACTTGAGGCCAGGAGTTTGAGATCAACCTGGGCTACATAGGAAGACCCTATCTCTACAAAAATAATTTGAAAAAAAAAATAAGCCTGGTGTGGTGGTGCGCACCTGTATTCCCAACTACTCAGGAGTCTGAGGTGAGAGAATTGCTTGAGCCCAGGAGTTCAAGGCCACAGTGAGCTATGATCACTTCACTGAACTCCAACATAGGCAATAGAGCAATACCTTTCCCCTACCCCCCACAAAAATAGTCTCTTGCAACTAACATATAGTCTGCTGGGTTTTTATTAATCAACTGTAATAAGATATAACTTACATAGAAAAAAATGCATCCACTTAAATGAACTGATGAGTTTTGGCAAATGTATGCATGCATGTGATCCCTAACATAATCAAGACATAGACCATTTCCATCCACTCTAAAAGTTCCTTGGTGCTCCTTCCGATTGCCAGTTCCTCCCCAGTCCCTGCCCACAGCTTGGGCAATCACTGTTCTTCTTTCTACCACTGTGGATTAGATGTGTCACTTCTAGAGTTTCTTATAATTGAGACTGTGTTATGTACTATTTTGTGTCTGGCTTCTTTGAGGGGAAAAAAAGGCTGCACAGAATGCGGAGCTCATCACAGTGCATTTCCCATATCTCCAGATCTTGACCCTTAAGACCTAGCTGACGTGGTAGCCCTCTAATGCTTTGTACTAATGTGTTGCTATCTTATTCAGCTCTTTTGGTTGGATGTCAGTGGGAGGGTTGGTCTTAAGTATGTTAGCTCATAATAGGCAGAAACAGGAGATATTTATTCTACAAAATTATTATTATTATTATTATTATTATTATTCTCAATATTGGAAGTACAAAGGTATAGAAATACCAAGGGTGAAGATGAGTATTCTTATTAAATGGAGTCTAGGAAATTCCCTCAGAACACTAAGAAGGATTAAAAAATTGCAGAGCTTATGATTTTCATTAAATCTAGGATGTGTGGTCAGTCATGATTCAGTGCCAGAAACTAGGTATTTTTAGCCTTTCCCTCACTTTAGCCTTCCAAGTCTCACAAGAGTGCTTTTAATTAATGAGATCTCATTGGAATCAAACACTGCTTGAAGGGAATATTAGAATTGTAGTTTTTGGCTGAGGAGCTTTTCCAAGTATTAAGAGGAAGATTGGGGTTCACAAGAGCCAACCCAAAGTTCCCACCAGGCATGTAGAGTAAAGGTCCAGTGACCCTCCAGTGCGTGGTAGAAAATCCAACATTATTCTGAATAAACTCATTTTTTCCCTCTATCATTGCCATCAGTAAATGTAATGTTTAATAAGACTTTCAATCATCTGTGCCTTTGATATTTTCCAGCTGCTAAATGAGCATATTATGGCCTATGATTTAAATATCCAGAATGTATATCAATCAAAGGTTATGTTTAAATTCAATTAATGTTTTAACATTTGTTGAGGACATCAAGATGCCTGACATCACCTTGATAATGCTAACAATTTCAAAAACTTATCATATTGACATTATCTGATTCCTAGATCATTTGAAATCAACTTATTTCATAACCAAGTGTGTAAAACTCTCATCACACTTCTTTGTAATTCTGATCATGTACTCAGGAACACTCTGATATATTCCATAAGTGTTTATAGCAATTCAGATCTTGATATGAAAATGTCATTAGTATCCTCAAGGGCAGACAGCTAACTATAGCTTCCTCCAGTTATCACCCTTTCTACTACAACACCAAGTTTGTTTCTCTGCTTTTTTTCACTTCTTAAGGTGAGTGGGTATGGTCTCAATAAAAAGTCTGAATGAAGTCAGGACCATTTATACCAATACTAGCTAGATGCTTTTTGACTTGTTGTAAGCTACTGAGGCCTTAGGATGTTTTCAGCAGCTATAGATGGTTTGCACTTAAGGGGAGAATACAAAATAAAAACAAACACAGACAGGTGACTGTAATATGGTTGTTAGCCCAGGCGTTTAGCAATGCCAGTATTCAAGACTAGAAGTTGGACGGTGTACAATGTTTAAATAGCTTTAATGTGACAGTCTGAGGATAGTATTTTTGTATGTCAAATAGGCTCTGTTTGGATTTATAATGATTCTGCATTTGAAATTCACTTCAATTTTCCTCTTGCTGTTTACATTTGAAAGAATTCAATCCAAAGAATTCTAAAAAAGAACTGACTTAATTTTATTTTGAGGCACTGTGAATCCAAGACAACACTCTGTAAATATTCTAATAGGAGCATTTCAGAGAAAAAGGAGAATTTCCTTTGACATTATTTTTAACTCTCATATTAGTGTTAGTCCATCTATCTGTATTAGTAAATATAATTTTAGCACTGCATAGTACATAATTGCCTTTTTAGCATGTATTTTATTTTTGTGAAGCCATAAAACTTGATTAGACTTTTAAAAGATCCCTTGAATTGATTTGCCTCCTTCAAAAAGATCCTTCTTCACAAATGGCTATTCATCTTTTTTTAAAAGTTATGGGACTTATTTAATTTACTTAACCATCCACTTAATTTCAGAAAGTTTTCTGGTCTAATATTTGAGTGGTGAATATCTGACTAGTGAAATGTTTAGGTGTTTTTTTAAGTTATTCCTGATCACAACTTTCATTATTTTTCTCAGAGATTATTTTTGATTGTTGGATGTTTGTAGGACTTCACTAAACAAATGATTTATACTGTTTTGATTTCTAGTTAGTTTATAAAATAATTTGCCAGAGGATGAACGTGTGGGAAAATGCCAAAGAATTATAATTAAGAATGTTTTTTCTATATTGGGGACTTTAAAATATGTCAGTGATGAAGTGTGTCTTAATGTATTTATTTTTCTTTGTCCTTTCAGGTGGATCTCCTTACTTAGCAGCCAAAATAAATGAAGCAAAAGACTTGCTAGAAGCAACCACCAAACACTGATTGATGCTCAAGGACCATGCTGCAGGAAGAAGGGGAGGACTTCAAAGAAAACGTTCTGCAAACTAATCTAAAGCACGGTCTCCTTAATTTCCACACATGTATTGACCAAGATTTTTTTCTTTTACCATTAAGTTATATACAATAAAAGAGTAATAGTCTTGTTTTTTATTATTTTTTGAAGGGACTCCGTAAAATTCTGTAACTGATCTTTTTCCTTATTCTTTTCTCTGTGACATTTATACTTTTTAATATTTTTTTGTTAATCCTAAATCCCCCCCATCCCCTGCTTACACATTCAGTACAGTGTGCAGAAAGTATGGCCATCAGGAATACAATTGAGATTTGTAAGCAATTAGTAGAAATTTTCTAACTACTTATATTTGAGCCTTTATTGTCCTTTTAAAAAATCTATTTGTTTGTTTGTTTGTTTAAGAGGAATTTGGGACTCTGCCTGTGTAAGGTGCTTTAAATGTTTTGAGACCAAACACTGGCTGCCACTTCCTGGGAAAGTAACCTGCAGTGTAATGGAATTGACTAAATACTGTTTTATAAAGTAGGAGTTAGGACTCACTAAAGAACTTGGCTCTCTCTGAGACCCTATAGCTGAAGCTGAGGACTTGGAGAGCTACTAAATTGAGGAAAGATTTACAAAATGAGCCCTGTGAGGAAAGACTGAAAAGAGCTGAGAGAAGCCTGAAGAGTTTGTATTTAATTATCGTCTTCCAGTACTGTGTATTTATTCAGTTACTCATTCTACAAGTATTTATTGACCACCTGTGATGTATAAGGCATTATAGTGGGACCCCTGAGAGTTACAAGTATGAACCAGTCATGGATCGTGACCCAGAGGAACTTATGTGTAGAGAAGGATAAATCACATAAATAATGAATACTGTTAGAGAGGTACAGATGATATGTATAAAAGTTCAAAAGAAGAAAACAATATTTTAGCTCAGTGCATGTGGGGACATGGACTTCATGAAATAAGAGGCTTTAAAAAAATTAATAAGAGACATGGTTGGTGAGTCAGTGTTGTTTCCCCTGAGATCAGAATGAGCAGAAATAGATACATCAATTAGTGTGATTAGAGTGAAGGGTTTCTCAAAAGCAAGGGTTGGACAGAGTGGTCATCAAAGACTGGCCCTGTGACTTAAACCACATTAAATTAATTTTCCAAAACACAGTCCCCAGCCATCATCACTTTACAATTCCAAGGTGAGAGGACAAATTCAAATACCAAGTGTCAGCATTATTTCCCAATACTCTTTTACAAATCCTGGCCTCATTCCAGGTAAACTGAACTACTGCATTGCAGTTTTCTTAAAATACTTTTTTCGTATCCTAGATGCATCTTTCAGCTTCTGACAATCCATAATTAAGGATTTCTCAATCTTGGCATTATTGACATATTGGGCCAAATAATTCTTTTTTGTGAGAGCCCTTCTGTGTGTTGTAGGCTATGAACCACCTCCCTGGCCTGTTATCTACTAAGGACTAGTAGCATCTCCTCAGTTGTGACAACCAAAAAATGTTTCCAGACATTGCCACATGTCTTTTAGAGGACAAAACCACCCTCAGTTGAGAGCCACTACTGTAAATGTTTAATAAATATTTTTCTCTTTTGGTATCTAAAATAATGATCTGACTTAAATTGAATCTTAGAGTAATTAAAATATGGTATTTGCTTTAAAGTCCTCATTCATGTCCTAGTTTTCTCAGGCTTTCGTGTTTTTCATGTTTTTCTGCTCAGTATTATCCTTATACTTAGAAGGCCATCCTAATCCCCAAATCTCTATGTGCCCAAATTTTAGGCATAGTTGAAGGACAAGCTAAAATGTTTCCCTTTTTTTCTAGTGTTTCCTGCAAAAGTAATATGAATTATTAGCTCTGTGAGTGCAGGGACTGTATCTGTCTTGTTCACTGCTACATTGGCACCCAATAAATATTTACTGAATGAATGAATAAATTCCCATAGGACTTTATCCTTCAGTTATGGTGCCTGTAACTTGATAATTTGTGAAACAACTCTTTGTGTAACATAGCCTATTTTTCCTACTAAAGTGCAAGAACCTTTGGAGCAAGAATCTTGCCATTCATTTTTGTAACCTCTCTTTATTATAAAGCACTTGCTTTGCATGTAGTAGGCATCATAGAGTTGTAAGTACTAGGAAAATGTTGCTGCTTTCTGAATGCTATGCATCAAAAAGTGTTACTGCTAATTTGGAAGGTTCTGCTAAGCAATGTTGGGGCACCCTCAGAACACACCTTTTAATTGATGTCATATTTTCCTAATCCATACTGTATTTGCGAGAATTTGAATCACCTCAGCATTAGCTTGCAACTTACCTCCTTCCCATTTTCTTTGCAGTTGCCTGGGAGTCAGACAGATCTGATTTTTGGATACTATCTTTCTATTATGTGATCTTGGGCAGTTACTTAATTTTTGAGGTTATAACCCTCATCTATAAAATAGAGAAAATAATCCTATCCAGTAAGGTTGTTACAGGGAATGAGGTTGTGGAAAGCATGGAGTCACATAGCAAATGCTCAGAAAGTATAAGTATTACGTCTTTATTGCCCCATTTAAGTAGTTTTATCTTTAAAAGTGCCTTGGATTAAGGGTAAGGTTTGGGGTGTGGGTAGGACATGGTGGGAACAACTCACCTCTGTTCTATCAGCATTAGCTGAGGCTGGAGGAGCCACTCACTGGCCAGCAGACTGGCCAGCAGACTGGGCCTGCTTGTTGGCTGGGAGCTTTGTACCCTCTACTGAGGCTCCTCATTGCATAGGCTTCTCCTCAGGCTACTGGAGCGTGGTCCCACCACAGCTGTGTTACAAGAGATGGTGGTCCAAGAGATGGGAAATGGAAGCTGCCAAACTCGTCCAGGTCTGGAACCTGTCAGGGCATCACTTCTGCCATATTCAGATGGTCTGAGAGTTACAGAGCCTGCCTAGAATCAAAGGGCAAGGTAGAGAGGACTGGAAGAATCAGTGGTCATCCTTAACATGCAACATGGCAGGGTTGGGATTTTTTTCTCTTCATCAAATCCCTGAAGGCTTTACTTTAAAAAAAAAAAAATAGATGAGTAATTTAACGCAACTTGGAGTATCAGCTCAGAAAGTTTCAGATAATAAATACAACTCTTTTAGGCAGATAGTAATATAGTAGTGGCAATATATAAAACTGGATTTCACCAGCTACCCACCCCCCTCAACTCCTTATTATCTACAAAATGCTTATTTGGATGGTTACCTTTCAGTAAAGATTACCTTTATATATTTGCTGTCATTGCATATTCTGCTTAATTAAGCTCTTTGTTGATATTGCAGTTTCTGTTCATTCTTACATATGAGACATGATCTGAAGGAGCAGGAAGGATCTTTTAAAAACAAAACAGTGACTTCACAGATTCCAGAGAAAGTGTAATTAAAGGGGAGCACGGAATGCCATTTAGATTATAGTTGATGGTGCCAATCTGCAGCATAAAGTCAAAAATGGAGAGCAGGTCAGTAAGGAAAAAAGAATGTTGAATGTGGAAGACATCATTTTGTGTAGTCTTCAAAGTACTTCCTTTGTTTAGTTTGAAATGCTTTTTAGTTATTCAGCAAATATCAAACACTGTATCAGGCAGTAAAGATATAAGTTCATTCTTAAAATATTTAATATGTTCAAACTAACATATTTACACTAAAAACACATTCTTAAACAGGTAACCTTTTTGCCTCATACTTTTTAATTAACAAGAAATACTAAGAGTTATATTAATGGGCATACTTATGATTGATTGCCCAATAGGGTCATTAAAAAGAACATATTTTATTAATGTGCAGAAATCTTTTGGTTGTCATGGGGAAATTTGAACATGGAAAAGAGATTTTATTGACTTGTCTTCACACATTTCATAATTAGCTTAATATAGCTTAATGTAGTTTGTGGGGAGATGAATCAGCCCTTAATGTCAAGAATATGAAGTTCCTCTGACTCAACCAATTTAAGGTGAGCTACAGAATTCTGTACACAACAGGTACACAACTGATGTTTATGTTTAATGGCTAAAAAAAAAAGGTAGGTGCCACCAGGCTGTGGACTAGGGACAGTTGTTTATTCAAAGACTGATGGCATTACCCCTTAGAGGTATAGATCACTTTTCTTAAACTGAGTGTTTATATGTTCTCACATGCAAAACTGGGGAGTCAACAGGGAGAAATCTTATTGTGAGAATTAAATATGATGATATGCAAAATGCAAAAAAAAATGAGCTACAGAGACTGCAATGAAAAGTTAAATATCCAAGTAGACCAGTTCGTTTTGTACACTGGAACCATGCTGGCCACAGGCACTTTGCACCTCGCCCACCAGTCAACTCCCAAATACAAACCTCTGGCACGAGGGAAGATTTCATGGGAGTGAGTTAATGTGTCAGCATAGTTCCTCCCTTCCTATGGAAAAACAACTGAAAGAGCACACCCTTTTAACACTAGATCAGTGTCATCTACTCATCAAAAACATTCCATGAGTTATGAGCCAAGATTTTATTTATGGTGGAGTTATACACTTTAGGAAATTGGGATTTTTGCTAGCATAATTTATTAGCTGGAAAAGTTGAGAAGGTTCTCTGGACTCATTTTTATAGGTGGAATCTAAGTGATCTGGATCATTGCCCGCCAGCGAAATTGCTGGGCATGGTAGACAAAGAAAATGTTCCTTCTAATGATTTTTTATGAGCTGAGTAGCTATTGTTCCCAGCTGAGTGCTCTTTTCCTCGTTTTATTGTTGCTGAGCAAAAGAATTTATAAAAAGCTCTTTCTTTTTTATTAAAAACCCCGCTCAATTGAAATGCAAGTTCATTAAGTATTGTTCATTTCTCTTCCTGCCATAATAACACTTTCCCCCTCTGATCTATTCAACAGTGTCTAGCAGCACTGGTCAACGTTTTAAGTCTGGACAGACTATATCTTACAGATATATGTAGATATGCAATTTCTAACATGAAGAGAAAGTTTAGTTTCAGTGGGCAGTCTGTGATCGCTCAGGCTAGATGTTGGCCATACATTTCAGATTAGTACCTCAACTTGGAGGGGGGAAATTAATAGTGGCAAACTTACTTCGATTATGACAATGAAAATCATGTAGAGATATTGGTTCAGGATTGACATCCACTTAGCTGTAGTGCTAAAGA